TGCAAGGTCCTGCACCTGGGTCGGGGCAATCCCAAACATAAATACAGGCTGGGCGATGAGTGGATTGAGGCCAGCTCTGAAGAGAAGGACTTGGAGGTGGTGGTGGGTGAGAAGCTGAACATGAGCCGGCAATGTGTGTTTGCAGCCCAGAAGGCCAATAACTGTATCAAGAGAAGCGTGTCCAGCAGGTCGAGGGAGGTGATTCTGCCCCTCTACTCCACTCTCATAAGGTCCCTTCCAACCCTAACCTTTCTATGATTCTATTAAAAAATACTTTCCACAAAGGTATGCTTAAGGCATGGTGTTTTGATCCTTTGTCAAGTAAATACTTTTTTTTTTTTAACAAATCTTGCAGATGAATGTGTTAGTGTAGTCTTCATTTTAGAATTTGGAATTTGATTGGTGAGTTTGCGGTTTTTTCAATCTTTGGGTGTTATATTGTGAAGCTTCTGGGTTTTGCACAAGTTAGGATGTTTTTGTTTTGTTCTTGCCTCACAGTTTGCTGTTTGTCTCCAAGTTCTTTGAACATCACCCCATACCACAGGAGGAGGCCTCCTTAGGAGACACCACCCCAGCATCTGGATCGTACCCCTCAGTGCCCTCTTCAGATTCTGTTGGGTATGACCTTAAAAAAAAATGTTTAATAACGTACTGTATGCTTAGAAACACTCAAAATACTGCCTTGTAACTCTCTCTACATTTTTGTAATCTGGCTTGTCATGCAACTGTATCCACCTGTACTTAACTTTAAAGAAGTGAATGTTTTCATTCACGTGAACGATACAAATTAGTAAAAAACCCAAGTTAAACATGTGCATAAATGTCTGTAGAATTGGGGCCTTACCTGTTAAATAATTTCTTCTACACAGAAGCTTAGACCTGGTCTAAACTGGAAAGATTTTATACTTAATACAAACCAAAACTGTATAAACACAAATTATTTTAGTTTGTTATCAAACTACAGTTTATTTGCCTTGAAGTGACATACCTCTGTTTCAGAATAAGACACACCACTGTAAGACTGGTGTGAACAAATGCCATTTCCAGGTTCATAATACTGCTTTAGTAGCTTTTCCATGTATACATTGCTTTAGTATCCTCCAGACCAACTATCTTCCTCATACTTAGATGTTAGGATATATCAATAGCATCTGTTTACTGCAGATCTGGGTTGTGTAAAATTAGACTTCTAAAACTGAGCACATGAATACAGCCTTCATCCCCTGTATTTCCAACAAAGATTCTGGACCCTCTGTCTGTGAAGAGATTACTAATCATATTTAGATTATGTTCCCAGTAGCTAAGACACTGACACCACCCAGCACTAGATAGTTGAGTAAGTCTTCAGAAAGAGTAACTCAAGGATGTGTACTGAAGTCAAGAAACCTGATGCAGATTTATTAAGAACACCAAATACAAAAGCCTTCAGAAAAACATTCCTAGGACACATGTGCTGCATGGAGATGAACTGAATTTGTCAAAGAGGCTCTCTTGGAATAGTGAGCATTTGAGCATTTTGCCCAAACTAAAGCAGAGACATAGCTGGAAGCTCCACAGGCACCTATGGACTCTAACTAGAAGAGAAATTCCCTGGTCAGCCAAGTCTACTTTATGAAAGACCAAATATGATGCCTCCCAGGAAAACAGATTGACAGTACTGCAGAGGGAACCTCATTTGGTAAGTACAAAGACAGATAATGTTCTTGTCTGTATTGTTTTGTGCAGTTTCAAGTAAATTTGGAAGTGCCTCTTCCAGGTAGTGGATGTTGCCTTTATATCCCATGGATGTTAGTACAGCATATGGTGGACAAGGTTCTGTAAGCCAAGCAGGCTTTGCCTTTCTCATGGTACAACAACCAGGCTAGAACTGTTAATCTGTGAAGAAGCTTGTTCGTACCAACTGCATTAAACTCCTGTGGATGCCAAAGGCACTGTATAGCCCCAACCCTAATCTGGTATATGCTAAATTTTCTTACTTTTCAATTGCTTCTGCCTCACATTTGTGCTTTCTTACCAGTTTATGAGGATACAACAGGATGGATTATCTTAACTGATACATGCACTGCTTCAGGCAGTCTTAGTTTTGTCAAGTAAAAACTGAAAAGAAAAACTGAGACCAAAGCTGGTTAATGCCTTCAGGTTTTTAACTTCGCATATATAAAAAAGTTAACATTTAAATATACTTGCCAGTTGAGGTTAAGGAGCTTTTCCTAAGTGTTGCATCTGTAAATATTTGTGGTTGCAGGAGCTGTTCCTAGCTTTCTACTTTTTCCTTTTTTGCCTTGCTATACACTTTGTTGTTAAAGTGGAAAAAAAAAAGCATATGTCATGCCTCCATAAATCTGTTAATTTTGAAAATCGTTTATGATTATCTGCTCATAAGTAGTATGCATGTTATGAAGTCACGCAATTTTCCCCAGGCATCTGTGTTTGTAGTATTTCCTTTCCATAAGCAGTTCCAGTGCTATTGTTTGGGCATATAGCAGTGTCCATACCTTTCTCCAATTATCCTTTTGCCTTTCTTTAAAATATTTCTCTGCTTTTTAAAGACCTAATTGTGGAAATATTAATTTCCCTGAATTTTTTTGAGTAAAAAAAAAAAAAATAATGCTGGCCTTTTCTATAAAATCTTATACTTGCAGTTTTGTTAAAGGGTACTGCTGCAATATAGGAAAAAAGTTCAACTGGAATAATAATTAAAAAAAAAAAAAAAGTCTGACGTTTGAGGTTATCTTGTCTGGGAAGAGAGTAGGGGATTGAAATTCAAGAGTTGGGCAATGGGATTGAAAATACAAGGAACCAGCGCTTTTTTAACACTTACTAGTTTAATAACTGTACCTTTGATTTCTCTGTTCTCCTAGCATCTTGCATGGCACAGCCCACAAAGGAAGGGATGTTACTAATCGATTGGTAAACCTGAGGAAAGAGAAGGCAAACATCTTCCTTCACCTCTAGCCTTGTGAAGGGATTCCAGCGACAGGCAAAGTGCCCAAAGAAAGGAAGAGTTTGTGTTGCAAGACAAGCTCAAGAGCAAAGGCATGTGTGACGTGCTGAGAAATTGTCAAGGGATCACATGGAGAAGTTGCAAAGAGAAAGGGACATAAAGGAAAAGACCACTGGACATGATGCAAAAGCTGCTAAACATGCTGGAGAACTTTGTTTCACTTTGCTCATGTGTAACATCCTAAAGCAATCCAGTCCTGTAGCCTTTCATTCTTTCAACTGTAAGCTATAGGCAGCCCCTCCAGACCTTCCACCCTGAGATAAGGGAGCACGTATGGTCCCACTTGCGCATTTCTTAACCCCATATAAAAATGTGTCCAGCCTCCATATTAGGTCTTCTGTCCCATTTTAGTTTTTTCAGTTTACACTATCCTGTTGTGCCATAGCAGTCATTTTAGTTACAAACTGCGCTTAACTGGAAAGAATTACTAAAAGTGTAGGTCTCCCTAATAATAGCCATTTGTAATAAAATTGAAGTACGCAAACTGTATATAATACATTGTATTCATTTCATTCATTGCACTGTCATAAAGTTTCTTCTGTATCTTTGCTCAAAGAATATGAGCACAGAATTTCTGTGAACCCAGTTCCCTGGATCTTAGAGATGTATGAGAAGAGGAGAGATTAGCTATTCAAAATATTCCAGTTTTCTTTTTCAACTTCCATCTATTCTCTCAGATGATGTCATGTTGGGCAAAACTCAGCAAACTCATGAGGCAGATATTATGGCAGGGTAAGTAACCTGTGGTGGTGGGGGGGTGCGTGGTCAGACTTTGCATAGCACAGAGTCAGGTTGGACTTGATAAAAACTGGAAGCGTCTGCTTTGCTGGAGGCAGAACACTGATAGCAGGCAGGTTGGCAACACCTTGGCTCTTTGAAAAACAACATTTCACAACATGCTTAATCTTCTAAATTTGAGGAAGAAAGCGGGGACTGTCTGATGCACCATTCTTGGAAGCTTGCCAGTCCCTGCCTTAGAGCAGGCTCCAGCCTGTGATTAAACACCTCTGCTTTCCTTTGTCTTCCAAATGTTCACTGATCATTCTGCCTCGGATGAAGATATTCGAACATCTAGAAGAGCTTGTGAAAAGCCAAGGAAACCAAGTCTTACAATGTATTTAGTACTACGCCACCATTTAGATCCCTATGTGTTTAGTGAGCAATAGCTTTGTCTTTTATTGCAGAAAACAATTATGAACTTCTGCCCTAAAAATTTTGCCACTAGACCACTCCATGTAATGTTAGCAGGCTTCCTACAATATCCAACTTGATATGCATATGTGTTCTTGGTGAGCAGAAAGGGCCTGTACCAAAATCTTTAGAAAAATTGTCTGTACAACAGGTGGGGGAAACCTCTTGCTCCCCAAAACCTTATTTGCAAAAACATGCTAGTGAACTGAAACCTGGTTTGGAGGGCTAACGACAGCTGTATGGGTTCTCTAGATATCAAAAATTTTAGGAAAGCATTGCTGAGCTTTAATCTGGGCCCACAGGCCAGTGTAAATGGACACCATTGTGATAATCCTGGCAGTTGTTTTTCACCTACAAGCCAACATGGATGAAAACAAGTTATGGTGTAGAAAAATGCACTACTCCATATGAGGTTATGACTGTAACAGATCTGTCCCATGATGCTTTTAAACTGACTTCCTGGGATGCTGTAAGAGTGATCTTCTCTAGTTTGTAGTTACAAACTTGTACTGCTATCCTTTTCTCCAAATCAGTATTTGATTTGGTGTTATGGACTACTTCCAGGCTGCAGAGGTAGAGAAAGAAAGAAAAAAAAAATTCATTTTCTGGCAATATCTATGAAGTACCACAATAATTAAATTAGAACATGTTTGACCTCCAAAATTTACAGTTTGCCTGTATCCCAGGTCCCTAGCAGTCCTTAGAAACTGCCTGGAAATGCACTGTGTTCTTCGTTAATAGTAATAACAAAAACCAAAGCCAATTGTACTTTGGTGTAAACAAAAAAAAGAGCAGCCTTGTTAGGCATTTTCTTTTGCAGTAGGTTTGGCTTGGGTCTGAGTATGCAGTGTACCAGGTGAATAGTGTGCACTGCACAGAGCTCTGTGGCTAAACTGAGATGCGCTTGTTCAGGATGGGAGGAGGCGAAGAAAAATCAGTAGAGATGCTGTCATTGTAAAAGGGAAGTGCCACATGCCCTATGACTGAGGCGAAGTAAATGTGAATTTTCAGTTTAACTATTTGCCTAACTACAGCAAAATAAAAATTCAAGCAAAAATCTTGAATCCTAAGCAAACCTCTTCTAAGAAAAATCTTTCCTGAGTAGACCAGCTCTTAAATATATAAAACATCACATTGGTGAGTTAAAGGAAATTGAGGAAAATATGTATTAAAATTTTCTTTCATATTTGTAAAGTGAACTAAGTTGTACATTGCAAGTTTTAAGATCTGGTGGAGGTACTGTCTATGATTTTATGAAATTGTTTGTTTATATATAATGTAGTATGTGTACACACTTTTGTGAGTTACCTTCCTCTTTTCCATGGACCCAGTTTTGTAGAATAGTAAATCTGTAGACAAGTTGACACTTGTTGTGATTGGCAAAGGCTGAAATCTACATTTGTCTGCAATTACTCTTGTCTCCTGACAAAACCTCCTTCTGTTTTGTCTTGATAAAAAGGGAGGGAACAATGTGCTTATCCTAAATATACGGTCCAAGGAAAAAGCATGTTCTGTCATATTGCCAGGAAAGGTCATAAACATGGAGATAAAATGGAGATTTGACACCTCTATCAGCTTGTTGCCTGAAAAGCTGAGAACTGTTTGTTAAAGGAATGCCCACTTCTAAGAGGCTGGAAGAAAGTGTGCAAGACAAGGTGGTATAACCTCTGTAATATATCAGACTATTGACCTTCTTATTTGTAGAAGGTCGTCTCTAGCTAGTGGGTTGGCTGTTAACTGCTCACAAAGGCCACAGGAGCAACAGAAACTCAGATCCTGGTATTTAAACTGCTGTTCCTTTAAGCTCCACCCTGCTGTACCTGTATGCCACGGTAAATAGTTCTCTGTAGCAGTTGTGTTCTGGTCCTCATGATTTTTATTTTTCTTTTTTTTTGCTGGCACTATGTTTACATAGCCTACAGAACCAGACAACATCGCCCTTTTCCAAATGATGATGGCTGGTCCTTTTTGCTCCAGTGGTCCTTTTTACCCTCCTGGATAATTAAAATTTAGGAATGCTATAAGAAGGGACTTATGGTAACTAAGATGATTGCTGCGTTCTTTGTGGTGACGTGTTTTCTGTAGATCAAGATCTTGATGTGGATCAAGATACAGCTTTTGCCACACACAGTCACAGGCTGGTGGTAATCTCTTCTGAGCTTGTGATCTCAGTAGGCCATCTTGGCTAGCAAACTGTGTCCTTCTCTTCACTAGTTACCTTTTTCAAGCAAAATTCCCATTTAGCAAAAATAACCTACTTTTTTGTGAGGGTGCCACGAGGACACCCATTCATTAATGAAATCCTGATTGTACAAATGGAGCACGCAGCTAACTGCTTATGAGATTCCCATCTCTGGATTCTTTGGTGTGTAAAGCCCAGAGATCCTCCTCATAATAATTTAGAGACTCCAAAAAAGAGAGTTCTTTATAAGGCTGTAATTGTTTTCTGAAGATCTGAACTTCCTCCAGTTAGAATTTAATGAGTAGAAAAAGCTATTCAAATTGTTTTCAAACATGGTATGACAAAGTGTGCGATCTGTGCTAGCAATATGATGGGCATGATGACCTCTGACCAGAAATAAATAAATATTTGCAGATTCCCTTAGCAGATGACCATTTATGACTCAAAGGAGGATGAAACTGAAATTATATCTCTGCAATTTGGTTTTTCTCTCACTTGACTTACTCGTGATCACAGAAAACCTGATTGTTTCTGTTCTCATCATGTGACAGAGCTCAAATGCTGTCTCACAGTCGCAGTGCGATGATCTGCTGTTTGTTGTTACCCATTTCCCTTAATGTCATCATTACTGAGAACTCTGTAATACCTAGCAGGAGTTAGCTGTCCCAACAATGACAACACTGGTCTGGCTGAGACACTTCTTAGGCTTTTCTTCTGAAATATTTCTGTGCAGCATCTGACACGCTTGCCTTAACATGAAAATACAGTGCCTTAGAAAGTCAACCGAGTCCTGCACTTGATCTGTGCAGTGTCCCATCTCCTGATGTGGGTTCTAGTTGCATGATTTCCTTACAAAAATGTTAATGAGTTCAAAACTTCCTCATCTACAACAGAAAAGATTTTACCCAGAGACACCTGTTAGCAATGAATGAAAACTTTAGTTTGTGTATATGTACATCAACTGCATTTAAAAAACATTTCTGAAATTCTGCATGTCTTCTGAAGTGCTGGGCTGTTCAGGGCCCTTTCTCCGAGGTTTGTCTGTTGGCAGTTTCAGTTCATTTCTTACCAGTATCTTCCTGATATCTATATTCTGGCATTTGACAATAGGTAACTATTTAAAAAAGTTAAGCAGGGTTAAACCCACTACCTGTGCTTCTTCCTCCTCACTTCCCAGACATAATCTATGTATTTTATTATGAGACGTACCAGGCTGTTGTTTGAATTAATTCGCAAGCACTCTGTTTTGCCATTCTCGGTTGTGAGGCTGTTGGCCAGGAAGGGAAAGATGACAAGTACTTAGAATACAGATAGCACTGAGTTCTGGGACCAGTGCCAAACTGTATAAACTCTTCAATGAAAGGCAGGGTAATAGTCTTTAAAGCAGGCCTGTTTCTGCAAAAATGCCAAGAGGGCCTGTTGAAAATGTTAGTTGCCCCTGAAGATCTTTGGAGAGGCCAACGGGTGTTCACTTACAGGAAGTGGCACCAGGACCTGTTGCTGCTGTATGCCTCTATATGGTTTGTTTCTGAAGCTTCTTCCCTGTGGGCATTGCCTTTGTGGGCATGGTTACTAACTCATGACTAACTGAATGGCTGGAGGACTCTACTCCTCTCTTGGGAGTTGTGTTTCCTGTAAGTTCTAAAAACCGATATCATGTGTATTTGAACATAAAATTTTCTTTGACAAAGGTGGCAGATGTTCCTCGTTGACCTTTTGCCTTATATCCATTAAATTGAATTGTTAGACTTAACAGTGACTGACCGTTACTTGAGTAAGACACGAGTATCAATTTATTGTGCTTTAACAAAATAAACAGATAACCAAAGTGGCATTCTGCCTCCTTAAAAATGAAAAAGCAAGTGTTTAGATGTTTTGTCTTTTAAATATATGATTCATGATACCATAAATTAAAGACTTTATTTACATTTATGACTGGTAGCATTTGCATTTCTTCAGAAAATTTGTCTGTATAGTCTGAACACTTACCTTTCAAGTCGAATCTATTGTATTGCCTAACTGTAGCACTGTAAATAACATTTGAAATGTTGCACTATTCAAAGTTATTTCTTAAAGGTTGAGGTGATATGGTTATTTTTAGTATTAGTAATTCATATTACATTAATTATGTTGAGTGACCAGTGTGTAATTTTCAGTCTTTCTTCATTGGACAATAATCCCGTCCATACAATTTGTTTTGTGACATCTTGTAACTGTAATGTTGATGTGAGATGTTAAGCGTTTTTAGTTCTTAGTAGGTTGTCATTAAAAAGAATATATTGCATTAACTCTGAAGTGAAGAAACTGCAGAGTATCTTGCTATCTGCAGTGCATGTTGGGCTACATTAATTTTTTTAAATCAGGATTTATTATTTCTAGTTTGGTATGGAATGTTAGGGGTTTTTTTGGTTTAACTAGAACACTTCATAGTAATTAGGTAGTTTGTACAGTAGAGAGTTGTTGCAATTGATTATAGGGGGGTAGAGATTGTTATAAATTGTTCTCATGCAGGCCTTTAGATCAGTTTTTTTAATGTATGTAGTATTATAGTTGAAAAGGACTTACCACACCCACTATGCAGTATTCGAAGCCATTTGTAGACCTAAATCCTCTTTTTCCTTGACTTTGTTTCTCAGACCACCAATTCTCCCTAGTCCTTCTCCTTCAAAATCCATTCCAATCCCACAGCCCCTCCGACCAGCAGATGAAGACCATCGGAATCAATTTGGGCAACGTGACCGATCCTCTTCAGCTCCCAACGTTCACATCAATACAATTGAGCCAGTCAATATTGATGTAAGTATTAATAATGTTTGGATCAGGAGTAGTAGATTTGATATTTCCCGTATGGATATCAGTGTGTTAAGTTTGTCCTGTCTACATACGAGTTCTGTGTTTCTAAGCTAATCCTTGGTGGTTTGTCGGAATCTTCATAGATCCCATGTTAGACACTTTTGATATTGAGAGCTGTAAGAATGCAAATAACCCATTCTCCAAAAGCAGAACTGCCTTTTGACAGCCCTGCTCTTCCATTTTGAAAGAAACACTCTACCACAAACCACTGCTCTTCTTTTTTTGTCATTAGCCCCAAGGCTCAGGCTGCTAGCTGTACCACAACATTAAGGATATGACAGCCAGTAACCACTCTACCGAACCATTATATTTCTTTATATCCAAGATAGAGATATTTAGGATTTGTAATTCAAGTAATATTTCTGGCATTGAAGAAAATTAAATTGTTTCAGTAAGGTGAGTTCAGATTTATTGACTGTTCTTTAGGTTTTCAAAAGCCTGGTACATATTGTTCTGAGCATTCTTTCAGAGCATTCAGAAATAGCTACACTTGTTTTCTAGGATCTTTCAAAATGTTGGTCACAACAACCTAATTTTGCTAACATATACAGCTTGTAGTTTGCCCTCAAGTCTACTCTCTCGAAATAAGTGAGCAGTCTTGAAGTCTGCCTGGATCTGGATGCTGAAGCACAAAATCTGTTTTGCATGTGAGCTGAGTGAAAGGTGAAATGTTAGTTGAGTATTAAGAGTGTGGCCGCATAGACGTTTGCGTACGGTATGAGGCAGGACCACTGCTTTCAGCAGCAGTGCAGGTATATAAAGGAATAAAATAATTGTGTAGCAAAAAAAAAAAAAAAGCTTTATGATGAAAATGGATGTACCAAGGGAAACTGCTAGAATTTTTAATTTTTCTTCTGTTTAGAAAATCCCTAGTGTAGTTAGCTTTTAGTCTGGATATGCTGTAAAAGATACTCCAAGTTCACAGTGGATTGCAAATGAAGGAAACCTTTTGCAGTTAGTCATTTCTGAGAAGAACTGAGTGTGCCTGGCTATGCAAATGAAGTGCTTTGTTACAAGAAAAAACAAAGCAGAACTCATTTGACTGATGGACCTCAGTACAGGAAATTGATGTCCCCACTTCTGATATGACAGTTCAAATAATTTGTGCCACAAACACTGTAACTAGAATATTTGGTTCAATATTTCTTCATGCATTTTGGCCAACTGTGTGTTTAAATCAATATTTTAATGTCATCGTCTACTTTGGGTGGGGTACATTTCCCTTTACTACTGAGAGATGCTGTTTAAAAGCAACTAATTTTGAAAAGTTTAGTACTAGTTGTTATAAATAGTTCTTTGGAGTCGCTGCTATTAGTAAGCCAGGCTAGGAAACAACTTTTATTTCGAGGACAACATATGAAGTTATGTAATCTTGGTTTGATTAATCTCAATTGATTGTGGAATGTAAATTATAATACCTAAATTAAACACTTTTTTTTATTTATAGGACTTGATTAGAGACCAGGGTTTACGAGGAGAGGGAGGTAAGTAGTGTTTAAACTACCTACTGTGCTGTATTTGATTACACACCCTCTCTGTCCCTTCCCTTTGTTCTCCTTCCTTCAACACAGGCACAAAGGAAGATATGACTAGAAAAAAAAAAAATAAAATTTACATTTGCTTGTCCATGAACTTAATATTTGTCTGACAAAGATTTGAGTCATTTGCTGGTCATTCTGGGAGTGGGGGAGATGGAAGGAGAAAAAGTTCTGAAGTGGTATCTTGTTTTTTAGTTTTAAAATTACCTTGCACCGTCACTTTTTTGCTCTCACACACACTCATTCACTCTACATGGCTGCACACAGATATGCTACAGCTTCCCAACTCTCTCTCAAAGATTTTTATGCCTGTTGTTACCTTTCCACTTATGGAAACAACAGGGGTTTTCATTGAAAACCATCAACATGGTAGATGGACCTTCCATACAAACTGCTGCATCCTAAAGCAGCATGAAATACTCCAGTTCTTCTCCCCCTCTACCCCTGCTGAAGATGCTGCTTTGCTGTACTGCATGCCTGTGCTACTCTTGGAACCAAGCTGTTAGGACCTTATGCTAAAGCCAGGTCATTTTATGTTTCCTTCAGTAATGCACAGCCCTAATTCACAGTTAAGTCAGAACTAGTGCCAGAAGATTTATTTTTCTTTACATGTTATGCACGGACCTATTAAGTCACTTCTGCTGGCTGTCAAGGTCCTAAGAGGGCTTCTTATGTGCTGTATTTATTCCTATGAATATAATAATAATATAGAAATAATAGAAATAAAGAAATAATAAGTAGGGCAGGCATATGACAGTTTTTCCAACTCCAAGTAATTAACACAGTCATCTACTAATTAAAACTTGCTTCAGCCATAAGTCTGAATTACCTTAGTGCACTCTGCCCTGATCTCTGAGGTTTTGTACTGTGGGCTATTATGGACTTTGTTTCTCCCATCCCAACCTGGTAGTTGGTAGGATGGTACCTACCCACTGTGTTGTGTTTGATGGAGCTGCTTTTCCTTATGCCAGCAATAGAATGTTTTCTAAAAAGAGATTTCATTTAATCCTGCAAGCCTACTAATTTAAAGTTGCCAGTTCTAGCTATTTTTGTATGTGTTGATAGGTGTGGCTCTCCACAGTTTTGCCCATTTTGTCCAGCATTTAAATGTTGTACTATCATGTTGGTTTTAACTTTTGATCATAAACTGTCTGCTTGGCATCTGAAAACAATTGGCTGTTCCCAGTCCTGAAACGGTGTTATTAGTAATTGACTACTTTTTTTTTCTTCAAAGTACAGAAGCAATCTATGAATAGGAGTCAAAGCATCCTAGTTATTTCCCATGACTTCTTTCATTTCTTCTATGTGTCTGTCTTTCTGTCTCTGCCTGCCCGTCTCTTTCTCTCTAACAGCCCCTTTGAACCAGCTGATGCGCTGTCTTCGGAAATACCAATCCCGGACTCCCAGTCCCCTCCTTCATTCTGTCCCCAGTGAAATAGTGTTTGATTTTGAGCCTGGCCCAGTGTTCAGAGGTAGTTGGGCTCTTCTTTCTTGTTTTCACCCAAACAAAATAAGTAAAACCACAGATGCTGTTTGTGCCTCACCCTCACACCGTGTGTATGTAAGTGTGTGAGTTTATCAAAACACCTCTGTTTTTTGCTTGGCCTGGCTGGAATGCTTTGAATGTGCTTTTCACACATACTCACTTTCACCTTTACATGCTTGAAAATTAAACAAAGTCTGACTTAAATCTTCAAAAGCAAGGAATTTCATAGTTGAGGTTTTTATGTGGGCCTTAACATAATTTTTCTAAACAAAGGTCCTTGGATTGCATTGCAGTGATTTTTAAAGACAAAGTGACATCCTTAACTTAGAATTTCCTTGACTGTTCAGTTTAAGTCAGTTCAGTGTTTTATCAGTTTTCTATATTTCATGTTCTTTGTTTTAAAAAGTAATCTAGGAAATCAAATGTTAATTACAAACATTTCCATTGATATCTTGTTAGATCTCAAGCTTTTCCAGTAATGTGTCATCTCAACTTTCAGCAAATACTTCATTTTGAGAATGTGCTGTTGATACCAGATTGGGGCCCTAGATGGTTTAGACCATATAGTTTTTATTTACTTAGTCAATTTCCAGTGAAACAGTATTTGTTTGTGTCCTGTACTATGTAAAATAACTTCCATTTTCACGTCATTGACTCTGGGGATAATTCAGGCCTAAAGCCTGAATTATTTGAACAGATCTGTTGTATTGCCCCAAATCCCAAAAAACTGCGGATTTCACATACTTGAGAAACCAGCTACTGAGTAATAGCACAAAATGTAAATATTTGTTTCTAAATATATACATGTAGAAGTAGGAAGTTCAGTGCATGTAGTGTGGTTTTCAAATGCTACCATCTTGGCTGTTTCAAAGACTTTTGTTTCAGAATATATCAAGAAGAGTTCACCTTATGAACTTGTAAAGTTCTTCCAGAAGTCTTTGTAAGAAGACAGGTGTTCCCAACAAGCTAACTGGCTACAGAATGGCATACATTATGTACAGCTTCAGAGTCCAAGCTAATGACTTAAGTCCAGCATTATCTGAAGTATTCTACTCTAATAACTTGGAAAACAGACCATCTGGTATTATTATGAACAGATTAACTATAATGTTCTACCATGTGCTCTAAGTGTTTTTGGTAAAGGGTGAATATTATGCTAATGTTTCTATATGATGGTATTAAAATTTAAGTATGAGACTTTAGTTACCTCTAAAGAAAATACATTCTAGGAGAGCTTTGCTATTACAGAGGAAGTCTGAAACGCAATAAACTTTGGGAAAGTTGCTCATGTTCTGGGAACACCATACATTTAATTCCATATATGTGTCATTTCAGACAAATAATATAAAAAAATACATGACAGTATAGTGACCATAACATGGATATGAACAGGAGACCATCCTTCAGGTCACTGGCTTCCTACTGCTTGTAAATGCAGTTAGGATGCCCAATATGCAACATTATTGTTGCTTTAGCATGTGGGACAAACTTAAGGATGCTGTGTCCCGTTTTTAATGGGTTGGTATGTCATTATTTTGTGCTTCCACTAAGTATATGGATTTTAGCTCAGTGAGGACAGGCGGTGATGGATATATATAGTCTGATAAATTAGCACGCACTGAGTGACTGAACTCGAGCAACAATTTTAAAAGTTACAAAGTCAATTTCTGAACTGAAGTCGGCATTAGGAGACACTTTTTTGGTAAGAAGAGGACTTCTGAAGAAATATGAGGAGGAATATTGTCTTCTACCACTTACCAGACCACTGGCATGAAAGCAAGCTTTGGAATGTTGGAGGTCTTGTATAATGACTATGTTGTTTAGCAGAGCACCACGAATTTAATTAACAACTGACCCTATTTTATGTCCTTTGCGTTGAGAGGGTCAGCATAACCTTGTTACAAATAATTATGCTGTATTTTAAAAAGCAGTGTCTAGTTGAAGTGCTCTATTTGTAAAGAGCCACTGGGACTCTGAAACACAGCTCTGTTAGTGACATTTTCCTGAATAGATTTGTTTAGATAACATATAGACTGCAGATGGACTATTCTTTTTGTATTTAATAGAATATGCTTCAAATAGCTAACTAAAGTACTTGTTCTTTCTTAATCCCTTCTACAGTCTAAGATTTACTTTTAAATAAGAGCTCTCTGCTAACAGATAGCTTTAAAACAGCCAAATGGTTTTCAGGTGGCACTTGGAGACTCAACTAGAAAACATTTCAGTTTTTTGCATTTAATCTATTTTGATTACAGGGTACAGTATTTCAGCTATTTATTGGATTCCTAAAAGGTTAGCTACAAGAAGTGTGAGAGGTAGCTGCTGCTAACTAAAATGCTATTGCTTTTCTTCTCAAAGAAACTGGTGGAATTAAAAAATACCTTTTTTTTTTTTTTTTTTTTTTTTCCCCAATTTAAGAGACATTTCCTTCTGATAATTCATTAGCAAGAGACTGGGGACTGTCTGGTATACAGAGATGTTTCCTACAGACTTGTCTCTTCCAGAAATCTAAGACTTGAGCACTAATCTATTATTAGGACAATATCCAAATATATGTTTGTTCCCTCTTAACATTTACATTGATGTTTGGAGATACTGCATCTTAAAACACAATTCTTGCACCTAATATCAATACATTCTTGCAAGTTGGCTTCCTATAGATAAAATTATCGTGTTTCTAAAATTTAGGTTCAACTGCAGGTTTGTCTGCAACACCTCCTGCCTCATTGCCTGGGTCACTCACCAATGTGAAAGCGTTACAGAAATCACCAGGACCCCAACGGGAAAGGAAATCATCCTCATCCTCAGAAGACAGAAATAGAATGGTAAGGGAAAGATCAGCTATTTTCATTCGTAGTGTGGTATCTTTGAGATACAGAAACACTACACAATCGTGTTCCTCTCAGTTTTCTTTCATCAAAGCCTTCTGAATTATTTTGAAGATGAGTATGGTAATGATCATAATGAATATTGAAATTGTGGGACTGAAATAGAAATCATTTAAATAATTGACTATACTCATTTTTACTCTAATGCACCCAAATGTCTTGGTGTGCTTCATATTATAATGACAGTTTCCCTTCAAATAACAGCTTAACTTTTCCCATCATGATCCATGAACTTTGTTCTCTAGTGACTCTCAAATGTAACAATACATAAAAATGTCTGCATTTTTTTAAATTCAAAATTTAGCATTATGATTGAGTAAGAATTGAAAAATAAAATAGACTTCCTTTTTGATAAGAGTTTCTTAATATTTCCTGGTTTTAACACTGCCAGAAACCTGTGGCAAATATTTCATGCCAGGAAATAATTTAGTATAACTGTGTGCTGAGGTTTTGCATATGGCTGGCTTGAGAAGTCAAATGCAATATCTGAAAAAGAAAGTTCTTTTAGGACTTTAATGATATAAAATACTGATACCAAATCTTTAACAAAGGAGTTGTTTTCACAGACATTAATGGACTTTCTTTCTTCCTTTTTATTATTTATGCGTATATATAAAGAAAACCCTTGGTCGGCGGGATTCCAGTGATGATTGGGAAATACCAGATGGACAGATCACTGTTGGACAAAGGATAGGATCTGGATCATTTGGAACAGTCTACAAAGGAAAGTGGCATGGTATGTGGCCGTGATGGCAAACAGTTATTCTTAAGCAAGTAACATTGCCTGCTGGGGGCCACCCAGCTGCAAAACAGCTTCACAGGAAAGCGCCTGGGAATTCTGGTGGACACCAAGTTGAACATGAGGTAGCAGTGTGCCCATGCCACAAAGGCTGCATTAGGAAAGGCATTGCCAGCAGGTCAAGGGAGGTGATCCTTCCCCTCAGCACTGGTAAGGCCACACCTGGAGTGCTGGGTCCAGTTTTGGGCTCCTCATTACAAGAAAGACACAGACATGCTGGGGAGAGTCCACTGAAGGGCCGTAAAGATGGTTTTTTACAATTAATAATTAGTGTGCTAAATAGGTAATGTTAGAACTTCAAACTGTTTAGAAACTCAACTCTTGCATGTTCTTTTGAATTAGGTAATTATTAGGGTAAAGATAAAATATAATTGCTAGAAAGGCTGAAGTATCCATCTCGATGTATGAGGATTTCAAATGTGTATTTGGAATGCTTTGACTTGACTAGGATTTCTCAAAGTAAAATAAGAATAGTGTTTATACATTTTACAGACTATTCACTTATTTTAATATTGTAGTGGTTTATTTCATGAAAACTAGAAAATGGGGTATCTCGATATTTCTGATGCTCTGTACAGCATTTTCTCAGTAGAGAGTTATGTATCAATGGCACTTACTGCTGTTTTAAAGGTGATGTGGCAGTGAAAATGTTGAATGTTACGGCACCCACACCTCAACAGTTACAGGCGTTCAAAAATGAAGTAGGAGTGCTCAGGTAAGAATATTTTTAATGGCATAAAATAACGTGTGTAGGTTCATGCTTCGTTAATCATTGAATTTTAGATTTCCGTTAGAACACGTTGATCTCATTCCTTCACAATGATACTTTGGGCAGAAAATACAACTTGCCATTTTAAGATATTCTTTCTATCCATTGCTAGTTCTTTTGTCCCCTGTATTTGTTTGTCTTATTTGCCTATGTTGTGAATATATGTATGTCCAAACGCCGAAGTGCCGAAGACAGGACTAGTTTTTGCTACCCTCAGGGCACAGTCAAGCCTAAGTGTGAACTGTAGGCCTTTCTTTCCTCTTAGGCACATTTTGAGATTGAAGGAGAGCATGATTAATTGTTGGGTTTGAGCTCCAGTACTGCCCATATTAGCCGTTGTTTAATAGTTTCTGTTCAATAGCATTGACTTCTCTTTGAGGTTTTTTTAAGATGTATTTCTCATAAAGTCGTTTCTTGATTTCCCTTTTTCATGTCTATTGCTTGTTATTTTTCAGAGGAAGTATTTATCTTGAGTTTAGCTCTTAAAAGAGGATCCATCAACACAATACAATGGAATATTTATTAGGGAAGATGATTAGCATCCAAGTACAATCTTGAGCAGTCTCAAGCATAATTCTGATTTAAAAAACAAAATAGAAAGAAGGTTTTTGCCTCTGGAAAACTGATGTGTTGAGCTGGGCACCTGTGCTGGAGGAGCATCCCCAATAAGCTTACACGGTGAAAAGGGGATGGCCAATCCTTTTCCCCAGGAAATGCTTATTTTCTGTTCATTCAGCAGTTATTCTCAGCATCACTTGACAAATCCTTGAGCCTGAAAAAGGCAGTCACATAGTGTAGAACTGTCCTGGTCTGCATTGCTGAGAGGACAAATGGGTTTACACTAGGCTCCTGTGTTAGTTTTTTAATGTAAGAGACCATGAAGAGCTCTGTCATCTTCAGCAGCAGCATAGATTTAAGAAGCTGCCACAGGTTTTAAGCTTGGACTGTTTCATTAACAGGGAGCTAACTGCCTTTGCTTCCAAGCTGTGTTGGAAGAAGATTGCCTTTATTTTTCCTTAGCCTCTAGGAAAGCTAGGAAATACTTCTGAATTCTTAGGTGCCTCGTCTTTGTAATCTCTCATTGGTATGTTTGGAGGTATCTAGTTCTTCATATCCATTTGATGACAATAAGAATGTGATTGACTCTCCTGGAGGGTGAGGAGAATCTTTCAGATTTCACAGTGTGTCAGTAGATTCTTTCAGGCCTTGAATCTACTGGGATATCTGCTGAGATAATCCTCTCTGCACTGTTTGTTGTGAAGTTTTTCTCTCTGGAGTTAATCCGTCTTTGAAATAGGTTTGATTTAGTTTGGCCAAATCTCTGTGGTGAACTCCAGTCTCTCCCAGTGCTGTTTGGAAACAAGTTCATATCATAACCTTACTGAGGTACAGTTTTTGTCCTTTCTTGTATGCTGGTTCCATAGAGAATACAAAATTCTAGTCAAATAAAGCACTAAGAAAAACTGAAGCCTTATCAAGGAAGTGTGTTGATGGTTTCTGAATGAAAGGGTTGTTCTTCCTGGAAGCCTCTGAGACTGGAATTTAATTTTAGATGTCCTCCTTATGGGCAGAAACATCTCATAGCTGAACGGGGGTTACAGAAAAGCAGACCTGCCTAGGAACTGTCACTGTCCCAGAAGACCTAGTGGTAACAGAATCTTCTGAGCAGTCCTGTGCTGGGTTGCTTGCAAAAGCAAGAGGAAGTGGTGCTAACCCCAGAAGAGCTATTCTGTGTCATTATGTTAAGAAAGGCTAACTGCTGGAATAATTCATTAAACTGAATCTAGAAACAGGTTATCATGTTAACTTAGTAAAAGTTGAGATTGACCCACCAACTTATGTTTGGAAATGTATATTTAGACTGTGATACACCTGCCTGGGTTTTTTCTGGTTTCCTGATCTGCCTCATTTCCTCCTGATTTTTTTTTTTTTCCCCCAACAGGAAAACACGACATGTGAATATCCTGCTTTTCATGGGTTATTCAACAAAACCCCAGTTGGCTATTGTTACACAATGGTGTGAGGGGTCTAGCTTATATCATCATCTACACATCATTGAGACCAAATTTGAAATGATCAAACTAATTGATATTGCACGACAGACTGCACAAGGCATGGAGTAAGTATTGTATTATTGTTTGTAAATGAGTGATGGGGCACTCATCCCCTTCACACTCTGACAGACATTGGCAAATACATCCTCCTATCTGCTCACTTTGCCAAGCCCAGGGTCCTGACTTGATTATCAAAGCATTTGGTGAAGTGTTTATTTTGTTTAGTGAAATAGACTTTATGTTCTTCTTTTGGAACGTAGGGAAATACAAATCAAGGAAATACAGTGTTAGTAAAATAAAGATAATTACAGTGTAGTTAAACTTTCCATCTTGTGAGCAAATGTTTCTGTTTCAGGATTTATGTTCTTCACAGTGCATATAGTCTTATGGTAGGAGATAAAACATAGTTTAAAAAGAAACACCCTGTGAACGAAAGGACAGAATGCTGTAAGATAACACAGAAGGCAAACAACCCTGTTAGCAAAAAGAATCGATTTTTTTTCTCCTTTTCTTTTAAGTGTTGTAGCTCTCTAAATAATAGATTTCAGCATTTGAATGAAACATACCTATTTTGTTGTAAGGACTGTAAATAATCCTCACTCCCATAGAGGGCAATTGAGCGAGATAGATTTTACAAAACTATCCCAATATTGTGTGTCAAAATCAGAACACCGATGTAAGATCAGAGAAATCACCCTCCAGCTGGAAAACCACCATGATGATTGCAGTTAATTGTGCCATTTTTCTACTAAGTATTCTATTACATTTTCAGTCAAGAGGTGGGGAGGTGTTTGCAGCAACCAGCCTCAGCCCTCAGTTAGCCTGCTCATCTCCTCAGGCTCCCTCTGTAGCTAGCAGAGATGCAGAAGCTGTTTTCTGAGTGTGATTCAAAGCAGAGACATAAAGCAGGGCTTCTCCAGCAGGTCTGTGCCAATCTCATCTACTAAACAAAGAACCATGGGAGACTAGTTGCCTAATTTAGACTGTATCTGTGCTGTGGGGCAAGTGCTCTCCTCTGTTCCCTGCAACCTGTTTATCCAGTCTGCAATCAGGGGATCTCTTTTCCCGTCCCATACTAAAAGGCAGTCAGCATACTTGAGTACACATTGAGGCTCAGAAGCATGTTTAGCTCCCACAGTTTAGAAACACCTTACCTAAAGCTGTACCTAGCCTGCAAAGTGTCTTGAGAGTTGCCATTAAGACTGAGAGGCAGAACCTTCAGCACTGAATGCAGTATCAGAAACTACCGAAGTTCTTTTATTTTTATTCTGAATATTGAGTTAGAACTGAAAGGCAGAAGTTGGTGCATAATTGTTATTTCATTCTTCAGTGGCAACGAGTTTGGGCTGAAAATCTAAGCTTTATTTTATTTTGTGTGTTTTTTTTCTGTGACTGTTGCAGAAACCATCATGGGTAACTGAAAGTTTGCCACCTTGATAAATATGTGCAGGTTGAATAGCTACAGAATTTTTGTTTCAGTAATACAGCGAATTTGAGTTGATTAGTGAAATATCATTTAACCCACCTAATCTAAAATGTTTCTTTTCAGTTATTTGCATGCCAAGTCAATCATCCACAGAGACCTCAAGAGTAATAGTATCCTTTTCCAGAGATGTGATTGTGGAACATGACAACATTCTTGGTTTTTGGTTTTGGGGAGTTTTTTTCCTGCCAGAAATGAACTTAGTGATGTGAAAAGCTTGTCATGTGTGAATATTTGCTGAGTTGAAATTTAGTTGAGAAGAGGTGATATCACTGACAGCAAAGTAACAAATACTTACTGTGTCTATTGATGTGATTGCAGTAATGTCGCATGTTCTGTTGTGGTATTACAGATTGTTGTATCATTCGTTTCTAGATGTAATAAAAAATTACACCAGTTCAGTCATGGAATATTTTCAGCTGTTCTTGCACTTGGCATTTTGAGAAAGTACTTGGCATTTCTAGAAAGCCACCTGGACCGTGGTCTGTTCAGCGCTGGCCCGGTCGTTACTTACGAAACCCTGAAGTACTGTAATTCACCATGCTGGCTGCTTAGAACCTGTATTATGTGAAAACCTTCTGTAGGGGCAGTGGATGGTTAAAACTGTTATGTCTAATGTTGCCAAGTTGTAGCTGTTTGTTCTGGTAGGACAGGAGGAGCACAGCTTTCTTGTTTTCCCTTAACGCTTCTCCCTTAGATATTTTTCTTCATGAAGACCTCACAGTAAAAATAGGTGACTTTGGTCTAGCTACAGTGAAATCGCGATGGAGCGGATCCCATCAGTTGGAACAGCTGTCTGGATCTATTCTATGGATGGTAAGTAAGGGGGAAGTGGTGTGTTTGTTTCAACAAATTCAGTTGCCTTTGGCCAGAGTTTCAAAGACTATCCACCCAACACACTGACATACACAAGCTGTCTTAAGCTAGGGAAGACAAGCAGTAATATGAAGAACTAAATGAATGCTTTTCAGTTCTTCTTTAAGCATATGTTTCTCAGTAGTCAGAAAAAATCTTTAGTGTCTTCACCCCTTATTGTGGGGTTTAAACTGAAAAAAAATTATGGTCAGGAAAAAGGGTATGATTAATCCAGGGTTGAGGAGAAGGTAAGAAAAGCCATGGAAAACATGCTGCAAAGGAGCAGAGGAACTAGCTCTACCAAAAGTAAGATGCTTTTAAGTTTAAAGGATTTGAGCATGATTACTCTCAAGAGGTCATACAACTGTCTTAAGTCTTTGATATAGTTACAACCTCCTGTGCAACTCCACTTTCTCCTTTTCTCCCTGAAAAAATTAAGGCTCTGCTAGTTGGCATTATTTTCAGTGTTGTTATAATTCTAGTTTCAAAATAGCTTCTCAGCCTGGACAAGGTCATTTTGTTTTGTCATAGAGGAATAAAGGGGTCACCAAGCTAAAACAAAACAGTGGATTTTGAGGTTCACGTCAAGATCCACTCTATATTAGGACATAGTAACATCTGAAGGCAAGAGTGGGCCTTGCACCTGTTGCACTCCAGACGAGTCCATGTTTTGTTCCTGGTATGTGAGGTGCAGCCTGACATGGTGAAATAAAAACTAATTCTTTCCTTTTATGGTACAGGCACCAGAAGTTATTAGGATGCAAGATAAAAACCCATATAGCTTTCAGTCGGATGTGTATGCGTTTGGGATTGTTCTTTATGAATTGATGACTGGGCAGTTACCATACTCAAACATCAACAACAGGGACCAGGTAAGGGAAAGGAGGGGATTGACTTCAGTCACCTGTGGCCTGAAACAGAGATTGGTTCAGCCTTGTGACATGCACATCCTGATGTTTTGTGTGTTTGATTTGTGTTTCTCATTCTCATCTTATAAGATGATGTTTCTGCATTTTCTAGATCTGCCTCAGCCACGTAGCACCAATTTACTTACTTCTCTTGAGGGTTTTTTTTTTTGTTCTTTTTTACTTCAAGTATAGATTTTCAGCTTCTGAGCTGGTTGCCAGGATACTTATTAGGGAGAGAGCAGGTTACTTAATAGTAATCTAGTTTAGAATAGTTGTGCAAAGGCGAAATGATCCTCCATATGTTCAGTTATTCCTCTTCCCCCCCACCTCTTGCACTGAATAACAGTTCAGCAACAGGATTGACAAAATGGAACAGTAATCATCTCACTGAATGTTTTATATTCATTTCAATCTTGAGAAATGCATGCACCATCTAATTGAATTTCAGGATATCAGCATTTCTCAAATCCTGCTTGATGGAGTATATGACTTTCCAGAGTGTGTGAATCCTGTAAGAAGATTACCTAATTGTGAACAAATATTCCTTAAGTCTAATGATACCACATGCCTGTAATATATCTCCACTGCATAGGCACGTTTGCAAAGGCATATCTGATTCATTATTTCTCTGTCTCATCTGAAAATAGTATCTATGCGTCAAGATCTTTGGTGTAAACTATTCCATGCCTGAGTAGTGATGTATTTATGTATCTGTGTCCACATCCCTTGTTTTTTCACTGTCAGTACTTGAGAATTGCAACCATAGCAACGTTCATCTCTGAATGCCATTTTATCGGGCTGCTTCCATATTTATCAGAACACTTCATCCCGATTCATCAAATTTGGAGTGATTTTTTTTTTTTCCTTTAGGAAAGAAGGGAAATGTCCAGATTCCTGGCCAGAGAGATACAGCCTTCTAAAAGCAGTATTTGGGCATTGTTTTCTTTTTACCTTTTGAGATTTGAAGGATTAACTCATTGCTGTGGGTGCTCACAACCGAGTGCTGAAACAAATTTCAAATTGCAAGTGAAGCCAACATATAAAATGTGATCTCCTGTCTTGAGTTTTGTCACTCCCAGTCTGTTGTCTGAAAAGGCGCAAATATTGCTTACCTTGTGTTGGTGTATCTACATCAGCTACTGTGACATAACTAAGAATCTAAGTGAGCAAAGCATAGTTTTTGTTACACCTCACAGTGTTTCTCCCACCTTAACAGATTTTTCTAGACAGACCAGGACTGATCTTGTAGTGATATTCTCTTTTTTCTAGTTAAAATAAAATTTTAATCGCTATATTATTTGTAAAGAGAATACTGGACACATAAATAATAACGAATTTTGAATAGTTTGAACTTAAGCAGTGTAAAAGAGTAACTTCTAGATGATGATAAGTCTCATTACAGCAGAGGTAAGGGGCAGAGTAGACAAGTCTTTACTATGAAATGCTGCTCTGGCACATGGGGATTTCTAAAGAAACCATATGGGAGTTTTATACTCCTTGATGCCAACACAGATGAGACTGAATCAGAGAGTTGAAAAAGGACCAAGATTATGTTAGTATAACTAACATGTATGGATTGCTTGAGATGCGGGGTTTTTCTGTTGGAATTTTTTGCCAGTGTTAAGATATGAAATAGTTACAGTTCATTAAATGCAAGGTATGATACACCTGCTGTGCCTGTGTGAGTGTTCAGAAAAGGTAGTGATTATCTGCTGCAGCATGAATAGATCTTTGATTAGCTGGTTTGAAAGGGCTTTTTAGTGTCAGTGCAACTGTAGTTCTCAAACCACATTGCATTTGACCTTGGCTTGACATGATGATGTTTGATGCTTTTTTTATATATCCAAGAGAACATTAATGATAATTATGCTTTGCTTTCCTGCTTTCTGTTAGTTTGCTTTGTTTTATCCTCAGGTTTTATCCTTAGGTGAAATATAAGCCTTCAATGTTAAAGGAATTACTGTGAAAATACAAAGCTTGTCTGTCTCCTCTTCTACAGAGGAGAGGCAGTTTCTCTTGTTCTTTGGTGTTTTTTGGGGGGGTAAGGAAGGTGGTCAGATGTCAAGAATAAGCTTTTGTGGTGGAAAGTATATGAAGGAATTTATTCTTGAAAGGTAAGGGGTTTTAATGTCTGAAGTCCATGTGTTTCTTAAAATACCTTTCAGTGTGAACTTGCTGTTGACTTACAATATAAAACAGAATATTTATTTTTACAGGATATGTATTTTTAGGCATTCTGTTCCTGCCACAGAGTTGCTTATTCTTGTTTGTGTAACAGTTTTTGACACCAAAGAACTGTTCCTTAGATGGTTATTGCTATAAATGGTAACCATTTGCTGGTGTTCAAGTTTCACAGAAATCTAGGAGGAGGAGGAAAAAAATCTAATTTTTTTTCTCTGTACTGAATAGGTTAGAAAGCGTTACGCTAAGAATCTCGGCAATTTCAATACCAGATGTCTGCTGGGAGCAGAAAACGTGCCACTAGCAATATGTTCATCTTTTATTACTGTTTGTTTTATGGAGTCATCTTCTTCCCCTTTCATTTTTTGTCCCCTCAAATGAAGATAATTTTTATGGTGGGACGAGGATACCTGTCTCCAGACCTCAGCAAAGTACGGAGCAACTGTCCAAAAGCTATGAAGAGGCTAATGGCAGAATGCTTAAAAAAGAAAAGAGATGAGAGACCCCTTTTTCCACAGGTGGGAAATGTTCCTTTTTAGTTCTCAGTAGACTTTACAATTCAAATATTAAAAATAAAGGTCAGTTATGAACTCACTGGCCATTTTTTTTTGCTTAGCGCTATAGCATGACTTCATAAGAGTACTGGTTCAGTATCTAGTTAGTGCTGTTTAATTAGAAATGCTCATTTCCAATTCAAAAAGCAGGTATTAAAATGACTTGTGTAGCTGGAAAAGCATTTATGTGTTGGAGAACTGGGAGACAGTGAAAATAATAATCGCAATGAGACACACAAATTAGAACTTGCTGTGTACGTTCTCAGAAATCTTTATAGACCCCTCCTTGCTCTCCCCCCAGCTTTATGAAGGGAAACCAATAGTTTTGTCACAAAACTTGATTTATCATGCCTGCTGAGGAAGGTTTGGATTCTAAAAGCTTAGGGGGGAGCATGATTTTTGTGTTTTGAATGTAACGAAAGCATTTGCAAAGAATAAGGAGCTCCCCCTGCTGACTTTATGGTAAATGGTATTAAGCAAACTGCTGCCAAAGCTGTGCTTGTTTGCAGCGATGGTGGGTATAGCTACTAGTGCATAAACAAGGAGGCAAATAAAAGGCAACTCTATTAATTGTGCTTAAAGAGGGAAATCAGTATGCCCTTTTAAAGGGGAAAATGAGATAGTTTCTTCTCAAAATGTCCTTTTCAGCTTTTTGAGGATATAAACATCAGAGTAAAATTCAGTAGTCTATTTTTAAAAGTTTCTGCTTAAATTTGTGTATAAATATTTTCCTATAGTTAATTGATATTCTGCCTTTGATTTTAAGCGAGTATTACATTTTGGAACCACAGATTTGATCACTTATTTTCTGCTTGTTTTAGATTCTTGCCTCCATTGAGCTTCTGGCCCGGTCATTGCCAAAAATTCACCGCAGTGCATCTGAGCCCTCATTAAACCGGGCTGGCTTCCAGACAGAGGATTTTAGTCTATATGCTTGTGCTTCTCCGAAAACACCCATCCAAGCAGGGGGATATGGTGGGTTTCCAGTACACTGAAAAGAAATGTGAAAGCATGTGCCTGTGTGTCTGAGTGCTGGTGTGTTCCTGTACGTGCAACACGTGTGTACGTTCTCAGTTCCTACCAGCTGTGTTTTTAAGGTTTAATGAGGGAACGAAGACTCACTTCCTAACAATGGGCTTTGAAAGTCCTGAGCACTAAGTCTGTGTTGGTAAGGAGTGCCCTGGGAGCAGCTGGCACAAGAATTATAAGGTCACATAAGGGAAATGGGAAAAGTCACTTCAAAACAAGCAAATATCCTCTTGAGGTCATTTGGTGTCATTTTTGCTTGCCTGTGTCATTTTTGCCTTGTTTATTGATTGGAATTAGTTACTCAGGAGTGTATTTGATTTTAATCTACTCAAGCTGTGGTGTTTTTGGTTTTTTTTTTTTTACTTCAGTTGAGGTCATTATATTTGAGCAATAGGCTTTAGATTCCTCAATTAGTAAAGCTACTCATATGTGGGAAACAGTTGGAAAAATAAACTTGGCTTCAAGGCTGGGCACAGTCAAAACTTCTTGTGGCCAGCAGAAATGAGCAGATACAACATAGAATCCAGAGACAGACCTTAGTGACATGTGACTTATTTTGAAAGTTGAAGTTTAAAATAGTGATGTTTAGAGAACATCTCTTCCTGCAGAGGAGCGGTGGCATGGGTTTTTTTTTTTACTTTTTGTTTTTGCCTAAATACTCTGACCTGCTATAGTTTAGACCATCTCAAAATGTCCTATTACAATGCACCATAGAAGAAATTATGAATCTCTGCTTTTGCTGAACTGCAAGATTGCTGGTAATGGTCCCTGTATCCTTCAATTAGCACGGATTTCAAAATTTAAAAAACAAAACATTTTAAAATCTCGAGCATAGCCAAATACTTTGAGGGGAAAAAGGCTGCTAACACCCGGCATATAAAAAGAGGATTTGAGAAAGCAGTTGTTTTAATGGAAATCAGTATTATACCATGAATTCTGTTAAGATTAGAGGTTTTAATTAATTTAAGAATACCACTGAATGTGCTTCTGTTCAGTGAGGAATTGTTTTTTTCAGTTCCATATAAAAGCTGCTAGATCTTGTCAGCTCACTTTAAAGGTTGTATTTTTCGCTGGAGCATTCTCACTGGAACAGGTGAATCAGAGTAGTGCTTCAGGTTATATCAGTCTTTGATGTCAGATATTAAAACAATAATGTTGTTGACTGTGTTCTTGCATATTTTGAAATTAGTCATGTAGTTTTGTTTGTTTTAAACTGCTAAGCTATTGATTTTCACAGATTCTTCTGCACTGGAAACAAGCTACTGCTGCTCTTGTTAGGACTTCAGGGACGAGGAGTGTTCTTAATAGCTTCTGATTTACCTTCTTAGAGAGATGTTTGCATGTTCCTAGCAATAGGTTTTTGAAATAGATCAGGAATTCAAAAAGGTTTTCTTTTCTGCTGTCTGGCAACTGAGCCTTTTAAAACAGGAGGCAGAGTTGGAGAACTTCAAGAGATGTAGGCAATTTCTACATTTTCTGGCCAGATTCTGATGGTCTTTTTGGCTTCTGCTGTTGGAAGAGTTTGGGAACTAACTTTTCTCATTTTGTGAGTCAAGAAAATTCAGCTGTTGAAATCTATCTCTATGGTAATAGTGACGAAGGACAAAAGTTGTTATTGTTTTAGAAAAATCTGTTTCCCATCTTTCTGGTAGCTTTACCTCATTTTGGCAGACTTACATTAAAATGAAAACAGGATTTAATTGTTTTTTTCCCCTCCTCTTATTCATTAATTATTTTTATTCTAGACAGTGAGGAGGAATGCTTCCTAAGCTTTGGGGTATGGTATTCAGTACAGTCTACAGTGCCCATCTCAGTAAGAGCAAGAGGGTGCTGCTGGGTCTCCTATCTAGAAATCCCATCCCAGGCAGAAAAGGCTTAACCACATGGGGGGTAGTTATGGAGAGTGCAGAACCATCATCACTGCCCTGCCCAGCCTTACTCTTTTTCAGGTGTGCCAGATCAGTTCAAACAAGTTATTCCTTGGAGTAGTGTTATCCTCCTTGTTGTTAGATTGTTCTGTGCTATAAGAACTACAGTTACGGGGCGGGGGGAAGTGCTACCATCCTCAGACACATTGGGCCCCATCTTCTGCTATATGGTCAGTGCATTAGAATTCTTCCTATGTCACCTGTTCCAACACATCGAGCACAGTCTGGAATCCATGGACATAACATGATCTGGGCTTCTCACTGAACATTTATGAAGTCTGAAAGGAGGTTTTTGTGGATCATTAACTTTATCTGACATAAAGGCATTTAGAGGTTTAACTTCTGTGGTTTGTAATTGCTGCTTCAGGAAGATTTGGGAACACATGTGGGATGAAGGTACCTAAATACAACTGTAGAGTTGGGTCATGGTTCTCAAAGATGCAACTCAGCTATATTGTTTAGAAACAGATACCCGTCAGTCCTGAAAACAGCTCTGTGGGATCCCAGGCTTTTCTGGAGGGGTAGTTTATACTATGTGAGATTCCTTTTTTTTCTTTACTTCCCTGAATCTCAGTATTGAAACAAAATCTGTCTTGGTACCTTCTAGAAGGACCAGATCCTCATAAATGCTGCTGTATATTCTTCTGAGGATACTAATTATCCACATCAGTGTATGTTCCAAATTTTTATTTAGCCAGTGGATGGTATCCATACTAGAAGATCAGCACAAGATCCAACAGAAAACTGCCTTTTTGTCATACTTTTTTCTGTGTCAGTGAATGTAATCCAGGAAAGGTGTTAGAATTTGGTGTTTACTTTTGGTAAGTCAGTTACTCTCCATGTTGGTAGACAAGGCTGGCACAGGCCTGGAAGGGAGCTATTCTTCTCCTTACAGTTCTGAGAAGTGTGGCATCTACCCCAGAACAAGGGGTGCAGTTAAGATGTTGCATATATACCTTAGGAACCTCATGAATCCAGATAACATGTAAATTTGGGAGAGTAGAGATTAGTAACTGCATCTTAAATCCTTCCAGGAATGAGGGGCAGCAGGTTTGCTCAGAACATGCCCTTACAATATATTGTGTGGATGCAACATGAAAGAACTTGATCATCTTTTAGTACATATTTTTTTGAAAGTATGTGTTTAAAATAGTTTCCACTTGCTTTGCCTGTGACAAGTATGAAAAGACTGTAGCAACTAACTTGAAAGGGCTCTGTAAGAACTGTAGATTTTCAAATGCTCTCCATTCTTTGGAAAGGAATTTCTTTGTTACCAGTCAAAGCAAGTAGTTCTGCTTGGTAAAAAGCACATCAGATGTCTGGCTCACAATGAATAAAAATGTCAGTTGTTTTTCTCACATCCCAAATCACTAAGTATGTGGTTTCATAGCTTCATGGTAAGCTGATCTCTTCTGAGGCAACCATGGCCCAGCTCCTTAGCCTTGCACTGGCAGATGCTCTCCAATTCCATGAGTCCATTCTGCACAGCTGAGTGGGTTCCCCCCACCACCAACAGAGCAGCTCTCCAAAAACTGATAAGAAAACATTCCTTGCCCACCAGCCTGAGCAAACATTTGCTCGGTCAGCTCCTTGAGCCATCTTGCCTCAAGGCCAGGTAGTGCCCGTGTAGCACAATAGGCAGGTCATTGCTCTACAGCTCAGGTCAGGAGGGAGAGTGACACTGCAGTAGTCCCAGTTTAGATTAGCATTGGCCATTACAGAACTGCACCCAAAGACTTAGCAGGGCAGAATCAGGATGATCCTGTTCCTGCAGGACAGGGCTCACTGGGTGATGTTCCTGAAGCTGTTTTCATTTCATCCATTCGTTGCTCTCAGGCAAAACCTTCCTGTCCAGCAAGAAAATGGTAAATTACTTCATTTATCTGTAGGCATCTGTGTCTCAGGAAGAGGTTGCCTGTGTTCTCTATCCCTCTCCTACAGATGGAGTTTCTTTCAGAAGGTAAAAGAACCAGCTACAGATATTTTACATCTTTAAAATAGAAAGGGTGATATAAAGCGTTTTAGCTACTCCTCAGAAAGTCCTGTCCACACCTAGCAGGACAGAGGATTCCTGTATGTGAATAGGGATAGCCATCTCCATTCCTCATCTAGAGAAAGCTCCTACTGGTAACAGCCTTTTATACGTGTTCAATCAGTATAATCCCATTATTAGATTAACGTGTTACCTATTTTGGTCTCCTATTGATTTGAGATTGGATTAGCACCTGAATTTTGAAAGGGAAGATTTAGCATTAGCTTGTTAAAAAAAAAAAAATAAAATCTTTGCTAAGGTTTTATTTAAATGGAAGAAAAGTCTGAAAATCACTCTTTTATAGCTACCATTCTACCTGAAATGCTTCTTGACTTCTGATCCTATTTTTCCATTGCCCTTTCCCAATAATTGTTCATCTTTTATCTTCTGAAACCCCTGTACCAATACTAAAAGCTGAATTATTTCCAGAAATGGGCAGACAGGCAAGATAAGTAATGAGGGAGCAATCTCTTGTTTATAAATTGATCTTTAATCAGCAGTTTAGGAAAGCAGACTGAAAAATAAATTAAGTAGAGCGTGTTTTGAAAGTGTAACTAAGCGTGAATGTCATGCCTAAAAATTAGCCTCACAGGTAATTCTTGATGACTTCTTGTCTTTCTCTTAAAAGAAAAAAAGTTGGGGGTGGGGGGTGGTAAAAAAAATTGAGGTGTTTCTATAGATATTGTGGAGAGAGTTGGGAGATTGGTGAAATGTGCCAGAGAGAAGCAAGGAAAACTATCAAATATTCAGAGTATTTTAGAGTAAGGGGTTTTTATCTGTTGGCAGAACTAGTAAAACAGGCAATTAGACCCATTGTGAAGCTTTTATTCTTTTGTTGTTAGAACTTGAAACTACCACCACAGTCTGCCAAGACACACAGAGTTCCAGGTCTGTCATAGGCCCCTGTGCCAGCTACCCTTTCTTTAGACCTTGGGTGAACTGCCTTCTCATTTCCTTCTCTCCTCTCTCCCTGCTTGCTTCATGTTCCCTTGCTACCAGGCCCTGTAGATGCCCTTTCTTCCCCGTCCCCATGCAGACTAATGATAATTTTCTTTGTTCCCTTCTTTATAGAGCAAGACATTCCATGGAATTAATGCTATCAGTCTAAAATTCTGTTTGCAGGGATATTTCTGGTTTGTTTCCAATATTCAGAACAAGGATCTTAAGAAAAACCAAAACTAACAAAACGCTTGCTCTTGGAAGGATGGAAGGACACCAAAATAGGGAGCAGTTGTTTGGCTGTCATGTCATTCGTACCATCCTGTTGAACGGAACAAAAGGTCTCTTCTGTCTGCTTATCAGTCCTTCATTTTTAGGAGAGCTCTGAGGAGTGCTCTCAAGAAACTAACCCAAAATTAATGTAGGACCCAACAACAGGAAGTTATATTGACATTTCTTTTTCTCTCACTCCTGAGTCCTTTTAGGTTAGCATAGTTGGACAGCCCTCCCTAAAAAACTAAAGAGCAGGGAAAATTTTTGGCTAAAGTGACAAATTAAGAGCATGAGTATCTTGGTTTTGGCTTCTACTCAGTTCTCTGGCAAACTTCTTAAGACTTTGGGCAGTGATTTTGTTCACAAGGACATGTAGCAATAGGACAAGGGGTAATGGTTTTAAACTAGAAAAGAGTAGATTTAGGTGGGATATTAGGAAAAAGTTTTTCAATATGAGGGTGGTGGATCATTGGAACAGGTTGCCCAGAGAGGTAGTGGAGGCCCCGTCCCTGGAGATATTCAGGGTCAGGCTTGATGGGGCTCTGAGCAACCTGCTCTAGTAAAGATGTTCCTGCTCACTGCAGGGGGGTTGGACTAGATGACCTTTGAAAGTCCCTTCCAACCCAAACCATTCTATGATTCTGTGATTTTACTCTGTGCCATTGTTTCATCATTTCCAAAATGGGACTACCAGTCTATCTCGCAGCACGCCAACAGAATTTCAGGAGGTCGTCGCATGTGAAAACACTGCATAGAATTATTGTTTATTCGGTAATTCTGAAGAAAGCATGGGGTTGCTTTATTTGTTGTGCCTCCCTATTAGCAAGGCCTAATTTCTAATCTGGGAGTGAGTGACAATCTCGCTGTTCTTATTTTTCTCACAGTGGGTTACTGTGTTGGTCTGTAAATCAGATTCTAGCATTCTCTAATACTGGTTTAGTAGTCAGGCACTTTACTGTATATAATCTTTAAAGGTTAAAGGGCGTGTCAAGTATTCTTTGTTATTAAGCCATTTTTACAGCAGAATAGAAATTAGTTTGCAGTCTGCTTTTATTGCAATCGTTGCTTTTCAGGAGGATGTATGTACAATAGGGAGTTTAAAGTGAAATTAAACTGACAAATAGTATTTTCCAATGCATGATGAATGAGACTTTGCTTGCACTTTTAGACCTCTGTCCTGGGAAGAATGGGTACAGCTTGCTTTCAAGAAATTCTTTTTCGGTAAAATATGCTGGGTCTGTACTCAATGTTCATTCACTATGTATTCTTTTGTGCTTTAATTTTAACAGTTTGCATTTTTTAACATCTTTTATAGTTAACCTAATGTTCAACTAGTCTGGAGAAAATCTCTGACCGCCTAGTAACTGAAATCACCTGTTTAAACCAAGCTCTTGTCCTCCCTCTACAGGAGAATTTGCAGCGTTCAAGTAGCCACAGCACCATGGCAGCACCCACTCTGTTATTTCAGTCTTGTGTTCCTACAGTTTCTTAACATCAAAACTCTGTTCTGCTCCGCAAAACCTAAAGTAATTTAGAAAAGATATCCATAAGCTTAAAAGTGGAGCAGAATGGAACTGCCAGTCCAACACAATGGGAAAAAGTACCTTTTGGGAACCAGAATCCTCTGCTGCCAGTGTTTCTCCTTCAACACAAACCACCACGTGCATTCGGAGACCCGCAGTGGCTGCCTGTGCCGTTGGCATCATTCCCAGGAGAGAGGAGAGGGCGCTCGTGGTTTGACTGTGGTGCTCGGGCATGAGGGGATGGAACTGCTGCTGCAACTTAGGAGACTTGCTTTGGATGGTCTGCCAGCCGGTCGGCTTTCTCCCTCTAACAATGTTCCGTCAGAGGCTGAATGTCTGATGAGTGCTAATTTAAAAGAATCTTCCTCTGTTCTGATCTCTTTTTTTTATTATTTTTTTCCTGGTGTACTTACTGATTTATGGACAACGCAGTATCCCCTTTTCGCTGTGTTACAATATCAGACACCTCAATCTGTCTATGTTATTGGGTTTTATTCCAGTAAAATTAAAAGTATGGGGTGATGGGAGCTGGAGAAGATGCTACTCTAAAAGCAAAGAGGTTGATCTGAAGGAAAAGGGGATGCTGCTGCACCTTTTTTCAGATTTACTTTATCACTTCTTCACAAAACAAACAACAACCACCAACCTTAACCTTTTCTTTTTCCAGTATTTTCTTGGTGTGTGCATATACAACATCTTTTAGAAGGATTAGGTTGATCCTTCTTTTGTTGGTCCAGCAACAAACTGAAGTTTAAAAAAAAAAAAAAAGAAAAAATGTAGCGAGATTGTCCTCTTTTTTTTTTTTTTGTATCATATGATACAATGTATTTATCAAAGATGCTACCACAGCATCTGAAGTCTGTAAAATTCCTGATACAGACTGTGAATGGTGTATGTACCTACTTTAAAAGTTTTATTTTAAACGAGGGTGCAGGTTAATGCCAGGTACCTTACCAATATGTAATGTTTTCATAAATGGGGAAACAAGTTCTCAGGTTGAATTGAATACAACTACAAAACCCCCTAGAATTAGACATTCCAAAAATTATGTTTTGGTACTTTCAAGAGCTTTTTTTAAAGGATTTTTATCCTGTTAACTAAATGTCCTCTGATAAGTGTATGTGTAAATGTGGAGCATCTTGTCCTAATGGCAAGCTGTTAGATTAAAACAAAACGGTACTTGCTGGATCCACGCTGACTACTTCTCCTCTCATTGCTTCCTTCCCTGTCATCTCTTCCCTTCCGATTGTCTTTCCCTTTTGTACACTTTGCAAACTAGGATGAAGGTGGCGGTATCTCCATTAGAGTGCTCTGTTTTCCTGTCCTGCAGTCCTGGTTTTCAAATGGTTGGTAGCTTTCTGACAAGTTACCCGGTCAGGGAAAAAACAACTCAAAGTTCTGCACATTGTTTACCTCTAGTAGAATATCTTGTGATGTGATCTGTTTGCAGAGTTCTCTGGTGTGTGGTATTACATGTATATTACTTGTACAGAGGTGAGTCAGACCACATTAGAAAGAAATTCAAGCTCAGATAGAAGTTTTCAGAATTCGATTCGTATCTGCCCTGTACCACTCCAGGTGAGGCAGGAGAACCAGCCCCCTCTAGCTGGGAGGTTCTTGCTGGGGGGTGTTAAACCAAATCATTACAAATAAATGAAGGAGTTAAATGTGTGTGAATGTGGTGTCCATGCTAAACATGGGTGTATTGGGTGAAGACGTTGTCCTTCCCTCCCTAGGATAGTTGGACCGTTTCTGTCTGCAGAAGGTTGCTCCCAGGCGAAGGGAGAGATGCACATCGGTAGTGGAATGTGCTTTTAAAACCCTGGAGTTCTGCGGTGTTGCTGGTAGTCTGTTATGTTTGTCAGTAAATATTTACTGGGGTTATAGGGACTGGACTAATCTGAAGTGGGAATTATAACTGAAATACTGTGTATTCATATTAATTCCACAAACATTAGCAAGACAGCAATAGTGAATGACTTAATAGTCACTACAAGAATGAAGTGATTCATGTTGGTACATGAATAGAATTGATTTTGTGTACAGGATGCATTTTAAAAAACAAACAAAAAAAGCACAAATTTTTTCTTGTCTGCTGTGGGTCTTCAGATGCTGTAAGGTTTTTTTTTCTTACTGAGATTGGCAGGAATTTAAATAGCAATAGCCACTTTCCAGTGTGGAGAAGCTAATGAGCGAGCGAGCCAGCGGTGGTGTGCAGACTGGTGAAATCGGTGCTCCCTGGTCATCACCTGAGGCTGATACCTAAGAGGTGGAAGGAGCCTGGGGCCACTGGGGTCAGCAGGCAGGTGAGAGCATTTACAGTTCACAGGTACAGACTCCCAGAGGTGAAGTAGTCACTGCTCGTTCTCCCTCCAGACCCTGTGTGGGCTGTGGCCTAATTTGTACATGTTGACATACTGGAAATTAATATTTTCTCAAAAGAAACCGTTATTGGAGCAAGTATGTACAGGTGGTTCAACAGTCATTTGTTTCACAGAGCTTGTTAAAAGCCCTAGTTTCCTTCTGCAAGGTCATGCTGACAGAAGATTGTCTGCTAAAACGTAACTGTTAGGAATTTCATTCTGTCTTTGCTTAAAATGAACTTATTTTTGTGAAGATTCATTACCCTTTAGTCTACAATATGCTTCTTGAGCCCATAGGAAAAGCACAAGGAAAATTGCTATCCTTGTCCATGCAAAGCACTTTATAAGTAACACGTGATCTTTGGGGGTTTTTTATTGGGGTTTGTTTGTTTGTAGTTTTGTTTTTCTGTTTAGTTTTTATTTCCCTGAGGAATGTGCAAGTTGTTTGGCTGCTGTTTAGAGAAGTCCTTTCAGGATGCATTTCTACTGGTTTTTCATGGTTTTTTGCTTCCCTCCAGATGGGTGTAGTAATGTGTGTTTGTCTGTGAGAGGTCCCATGTAATACTCTTGCAAAACTTTGGAAGAAATTTGGTTTGTAAATAATTGGGAGGAGTTTTTTTTAAAAAAAATCTTTTCCTTCTGTGTGTCTTGCATGCCATCAGAGCCAATCTTAAAGGTGCCCTGCAGATGAATGGGGAGATAAGAGTAGACAAGAACTGAGTGCACTGTATAGCAGTGGGATGAAAGAAGTAAATTGAAATGACCAATACATTCAGGTCCGTTACACCAAGTTTCTGAAGCTTCTCTGTGCTGTCCCAACCACAAGCACATGCCATAGTATGGAAAGTTTAGCACATATTTTGTGTGCACATGTTGGGACAAACATCTAGACAGTCATACTGCTTTTAGCTCTACAGTATCAAGTATCTAATAATTATTTGCAAAACTACCAGTATCCAATCCCAGCTATTTATGTCTCTCTGAACTACACATATACCTCCCCCCCTGCCTTTCCTTTTCCATGCAGTTAGAAGATGCCCGTTACCCGTTACATCTTCCCTGGCAGCGCAGGATTGTTTCCTGCAGCGTATTTGCTGGAAACTGGAAAATTGTAGTGGAGCTTAAACCAAGTGGTATGAGCATAGAGGCATGGTTATTTTGAAAGTAATTTCTGCGTGAATTAAGCCCCACATGGCCCCAGATAGAATTAGCCCAGTCATTTATTTTTTGCTAAACTCATGCAGGTCATCAAATGAATCCACTTCTGTGTTCTGTGCTTACCTAAATTAATCTTTTCTTGTACTTGAATGCTTTAGCAGCTGATGTTGATGCAAAATGAGGCCAAATGCTGATCTTAACATGGCCTCTCAACATCACTTGGATTAGTATGTGCTCATTAGAGGCAGAATCTGGCCTTCATGACAAAAAAATGAGTGAAATGCTGACTGTTGGTAAGTACTACATCTTTCCACAAATGCCCAAATCGGGGAGGGTGGGGGGGTGTGGAAGTAGACTGAAGATCCCGCATAAATAGGTTTGCTTCTGTGTTTACCTGGTGCTATAAATGCATCCAGCATTTTACAGAACATTTGGGGAAGCCAGATCCCCAGAAATCTCAAGCAAGTACAAGCTGAAGTTGTGATAGCTGGAGGGGCTAAATTTAGGGAAGGAGCAAGTAGACATTTCACACTTTTGCAGCCTATAGATTTCATTCCCTTCTTGACTGTGAGTGCAGCATGTGTAGCACAAACTATTCATAGTACTGTAGACAGCGTGTCTTCTGTCTGTTGAAAAAAGCATCACCAGTAGCACAATGTGACAGGCAAAGCTTCTAGGTACAGTCAAGTTCAGTTAAAAAGCAGTTGCATGAGTGGACTGTTACGGCATCACTTTGAAGGTGCTGGGTGTTCTGGTTTTCTGTTATGCATCTTACACAGAGGTTTATGAAACGAACTTTCTGTTTACTGTTTACTGCAGCCTTGTTAGTATGTGTTTGCACTTCATATTTGGTTTGGCTTGCATCTTAAGTATCTACCTTCACTGGTTCATTACTTCTTACGTAGTAAATACAATTATCAGGAGAGCAGAGCAGAGCAAAGTTGTTAAAACTTTTTCTTTGCATTTAAGTTCAAGGATGCTAACTCAGAAGTTACTAAGTCAGTACCACGACAGCAGTAAATAACTATGAAACTGTGGAAGGAGAAAACTTTAAAAACTGCAGAATATAGAGTACACCAAGAGTGAATTCAGGTGAAAACTAGCCTATCTCTTTTCTTTAGAAAAGAGAGCTACCAAAACCCTCTCTTGAATGGTTTACATAGGGATCCCCCAAAACAGTCTTTGCAGTTTGCCAAATGATCATGTGCCTTCGCAACCTTAAAAGTACAACAGAATGTAAACCAGGTGCTTTGTAACTAGAGCAGTGGCTTTGGTTTCCTTCTGATGCAGTAGTTTTGTATATAGCTATTACTACAGATAGGTAGTGCAGAGTTGGGAAACTTCGGTAAAGGAGGGCAGAGAGCATTCCCCAAACTACCTGTGATCATTTCAAAGCTAGGAATTGAAGGATACCTAATTCAGTTACAGTAAACCTGCTGCTTGAAATCTGCTCTATCGAAAGTTAAATGAGATTCGTTTAATTTAAAAATAAATAAGCCCTCCTCCCCCTCCAAAGACACAAAGATCTTGTTAAAGAAAGATAATAGAAAGCTCTGAAGAGGCCCGAAGTTATACTGTCACAGCATCTCGGAATGAGACCGTAGATTAAAAATGAGAGCTAGATGTCGATAAATTGATGGCTAATACTCATGTAATTGAAGTCCACGTATATCAGACCATACAGTTAATTCCCTGGCCCAGAAAGTGCAACTAATTTTGCTTTCTGGAATATCAGCAGGTTTCCTCAGTTCTTCCTCGGGCCTCTTGCATTTTCTCAGCAGTGCAGTTACTCTTCAGTGATCACGTACTGTCGCTGCACGTTAACCACGGGAGATGGTAGGTGTCTTGTCAGCTGAGGGACAGCCAGTGTGTTTGAATTTGATTTGTTCAAATTTCAAACCAGTTACGTAGACTTCTGGCAAGTACATACATACCAGTGTCATATTTAACCTACTTGTCCATCACGGACAAAATAATGGGTTTTGGTATGAGTGCTTTTTCAGGTCTCTTTCTTTTCTTCTCTGAGGCGAGTCTCTGGGCATAATTATAAATTATAGTTATGTCTGAATGCACAGTTCATACAAAATATCAGACCAATTTTAATTTGGTTTTGTTCCTTTTAGAAAGTGAAGTGTAAAAACATTTTACTCATGTTCCAGGAACTATCTGCAAT